CTATTTCTGAGCACCCACTGTGGCCCAGGCGTTGTCCTGACACAATGACATCTTACTCGGCTCTCAAGGAGCTTCTGAGAGCATGGGATTCATTTACTCTGAGGCTGAATTCTGTGAGACACCACATCCTCCTTCTGAGTCCCCAGGGTCCCCGTGGTTGACCCACTAGGATCTGCACTGGTGAATATTCCCCTCACTCACACCTCGCGGCTCAGCCTGCAGTGCGGAGACCTGGGTTCAACCCCTGGGTTGGGAAGATCCCCTGGAGAAGGGAAAGGCTACCCACTCCAGTATTCTGGCCTGGAGAATTCCATGGACTATATAGTCCATGGGGTCACAAAGAGTCAGACACAACTGAGCAACTTTCACTTTCACTTCACACCCCTAACCCCAACCTGAGGCCGCACCCCCAAGCACCTGCTCCACCCTTGCCCACCTTCTTTCTTCCTTCTCAAGACCCATGAAACCTAAGCCCCCTTCCCAGCTCCCCCTGGCCAGGGGCTAAAGCTCCCCTGCATCCTCAGGATGGAGCCCTGGGGCGGGATCTATTTTCCCATGTCTTCATTAAAAACATAGACAAGAAGGGAAGGCATGACATTGCTCCCTCAGCCCTAACATCTAACCCTTCAGACAGTGCCCCTGACAGAGCACACGAGTGGAGTTAAGTGAGCTGGCGATGCCTGAATCTGGCGGAGATGGGGATCAGAGCCACAGGCTTCCCTTTACGTCCCGTTCAATCCTTGCAGTCCTTCCACAGTAAAGATAATTGGAATTATAACTGTAATAATAATAGCGAACATCCACAGAGCCAGGGTGTTACAGCGCTCTACGTGGCCCAGCTCATTTGATCCTCACAGCAGCTTTATGAGCTAGCTGTTATTTTTATCTCATTTCCCAGATAAGGAAGCCAAGTTTCCTCCCCCAGTGAGGGCAGAGGATGGATTATTAAGCTACAACTGAAGGCAGAAGGAAAGGATGAGCAAGGATGACAAGAGCTTCCAGAAACACTCCCTTTCTCTCCCTGCCCCTTCTTTTTCCCCGAGGTCTCTTCCTTTTCACTTCTGGAGGAATTGAAGTTGAAAGAGAAAGAAATGAAAATAAATAAAAGGAAAAACAAACATAAGGAACTATAGGCACATCCTTGGTGCCACAGCGAATGACGCTCTCGCCTACCCCCTGCCCACCGAGGCACCAGCAGCAGGAGATGGGCCAGCTGTAGGGAAAGAAAGGAGGGGCTCACTCTGTTTCTATAGCAACAGCTATTCCAGGGCCTCCAAAGACCAGAGTCCAAATCCCCTCCACACCATTGGGTGGTGCAGCAGAGTCCCCTTGTCCTACCTTCCAACCTGGAGGGCCTCTCACAGGAGCCCATTCATTACCTGGCCTGGAGCAGGTAACGCCTCCCTCCTCTCAGCTCCCTTTCTCCCAGGCTGACAGCTCTCCAGGCTGCGTTGGCCCTCACCCCATCCTTCTCTTTGCCTCCAGGAAGGGGAAGGGTCCCGAATACATAGCGTTAACAGCCTGGTACCTGCAGACTGGACCCTCCCAACCCCATGGCTGACCCTTTGGTACCCAGCTCTCCAGTATGTCCTGCCCCAGACTCTGGATCATCCTGAGTGGCACTTTCACAAGATGAGAGTCTTTTAGGATGCGCCATTACCTGTCCCCAGGGAGTTGCTTCTTCCAGCACAAGGATCCAGGCTCCTGCTGCAAAGTTCTGCTCATATTCTTTAAGGAAACTCTCAACCCTTCTCCCACATCACTGCTTCTTATTGGGTCTAGTGCTGAATGATCTCCAATTATACATGAAACGTACCAGGATATTGAGTCCCAGCCTAGGTCATGGGCTGCATTCACCGAGTGCCTCCCCCGGTCCTCACCCCCACTGGACTGTGGCCCTCTGCCAAGCCCCTTCCTTCTCCCTCCTCCAGCACCGGGTCTCCACACCTGCCAGACTCACCTGAGCAGGCCTGGCTCCTCCCCGGGGCCCCAGGTGGCCCCACCTTAACGCTCAGCCCACCCCAGCCGCCCCGGGGGGTGCTCACCTTACCGTGTAGGTGACCCAGAGGCGGCCGCCTTGTCCAGGAACAGCAGCTCCTTCTCTGAGAAACAGAGAAGTCAGCCAGACTCGGTCACCAAGCCAGCAGACAAGTGGAGGTGGGCGGGGAATTCAGGCAGGAGTGGCCTGGCGCTTCCCGCTTCCCGGCAGAGTCCTGCCTCCCAGCCACCCCAAAGAGGGGTGGGGAGTCTATCCTGTATGCTGGCAAAGTCCAGACGAGGTGAGGGAGGCTCCTAGAAGTCCATGAACTTACCCGTCTAGACCGGGAAGGGAGGGACGGAGGGAGACAACCTGGGCACAGGTAAGGCCTCCCTAGAGTGCCCTCTGCTGGTCAGTGGTTACTGCAACAGGGCAAGGTAGGAGGAACCTTAACCAGGGCTTCTCAAACTGTAATGGGCACATGAACCGTCTGAGGGACCTTGTTAGAAAGCAGGTCCTGATCCAATTGGTCTAAGGTGGGGCCTGAGGTTCTATATCTTAGAAGCCCCCAGGTCATGGCACTGTGGGCCTGTCCAGGGAGCTTGGTAGTGGTTTAGTTGCTGAGTCATGCCCAACTCTTGTGACTCCATGGCCCACCAGGTTCCTCTGTCCATGGGATTTCCCAAGCAAGAANACTCCATGGCCCACCAGGTTCCTCTGTCCATGGGATTTCCCAGGCAAGAATACTGGAGTGGGTTGCCACTTCCTTCTCCAGGGGATCTTACCAACCCGGAGATCGAACCCACATCTCCTGCATTGCAGGTGGATCCTTTACTGCCGAGCTTAGACAAGACCTAGTTCTACCCACTTTCTGCACAGATATGACAGGGAAGACACTGGGCTAATGGCCCACGAGTTGCTGGTGGCATTGGGGCACAACCACATCTGCTCCCTACCGAGGGCTCTTTCCACTGCCTACAGGGTTGCTGCCACTCTGGATGTTTGCCAGCCTGGTCCTTCCTCTGTCACTCTGCCACTGGGATGAACGCTCCCTTCACAGAGGGATGTTTTTCCAGCCATCTGCTCCGTATCTTCAGCTCTAGGTAGAGCCCGATCAATCCAAAGTAGGTGTTTAATAAAGACTGGGACGAAAGACTGGGCCAGCTGAGAGGAAAGAGGAAGCATTTTTGGATCCAGACTGCCAAAGTTGAACCTGGTGACCCACTTGCTGACTGTGTAATCATAGGTTAGTTGTTCAACCTTTCTGAGCCTCACTTCCTGGCCTGTCAAAGGCACATGATAATATTTACCTTGAGAGGGATAAGGATGGCCATTATTGAGCTAATAAATATAAAGCGCACACCACGGAATGGTTACGCAGAAGTGGTAACTTGTCGCCGTGGTCTGGCCTCCTGCAGCGCAGGTCTCTCCTCCAGCCCCACACTGATCATCACCCATAGAAAATGAGTAAGTGCTGCTGCTTTCATCCTAGTTAATGATTCTCTACCTTCTTGTCCCAAATTGCAACCCCTGCCCCTGCGCTGCCTTCCCTGGGAGGAGGGGATAAATACCTCCCAGGGGTGCCCAGGTCCCCAGAGAGGAGAGATGGGGTGAAGGAAGGGTGGAGAGTAGCCAACCTGGGGAGAGGACCTCCTGTCTAAAGCACAAGCAGGAAAGAGGTGCTCAGGACTTTGGGGGATGAAGAGGGGAGTGGTCAGTCTTTGGGGACAAAGCTCTGAGACACACAGAGCCATCAGATTCTCTGAGTCATCAGATTCCAGGGGCTTGTGAAACATCTGTCAAGTTCTATTCCAAGCCAGGATGGGCCATGCGAGCTAGCAGTCAATAACGAGGGGCTATGTCTTATGAGATCATTTACAAAGCTTGTTTCACTGAGGACAGCCCCAGTTACATCTGAGGGTCCCTGCCACCCCTACGGACACAAAGCTGGTTCGTGTGATGCAGAGACCACAATGCCAGGCATCAGAAGCCTGGCAGCCTAGGGCTCAGCTATCTCAGGAGGTTCGGGTTACACAGCACCAACACCTCAATAGTTCCATCAAGGGGACAGGCCCCTCCAGAGACTGGGTCTAGTAGACAAGGGGACCCTCTGCTGAGAGGAACCCTTCCAGGCCATGCAGGCAGCAACCTAGACTCCCCAGCTAATGCCATCACCCTAGTCACTGGAGAGAGGCAGTTCAGCTGGGAGCCCCGCTCCACCCTTCTCCCCGTCCCCACCCTTCTCTGCCTTCCACCCATACACATCACTGGCACTCAGTCTGGGAGGTGTGCTGCCTGAGGTAAGGGGAACACAGGCCTGGAAATAAATAAGAAGGCACCAGCAGTTGGGGGAGAATAGGAAAAAAGCATTGGGGGTGGTGGGAGTAGGGAGACCTCCAACACTGCATAGAAAAATAGAAATGATAGAGAGACAGGAAAGCAGAAGGTGAAGAAACAGACAGTGAGAAGCAGAGAATAAATAGAAAGATGCACAGGCCAACAGGCTGGTCAGCCTGGTCCCCAGAACCTCCAGGACATGTTCATGGGCCCTTGACAGGAGAGGATGGTGTAGACTGTCACTCCAGACACTGAGGAAAATCACCTTTTTTCCCCTTCAAATTCTGTCAATCATGGGGATGAGGCTGAAATCTCATGGGCAAATGAGAAGCATGATATTGTGTGGGGGATCTTGGTTGGAGGGGCTACCTAGGTGGCTCAGTGGTAAAGAATCCACCTGCAAAGCAGAAGGCTCGGGTTCCAATTCTGGGTTGAGAAGATCCCCTGGAGAAGAGCGTGGCTACCCACTCCAGCACTCTTGCCTGGGAAATCCCATGGACAGAGGAGCCTGGTGGGCTACAGTCCATGGGTTTACAAGAGTAAGGCACGACTTAGCAACTAAACAATAACTTTTGTTGGAGGACGGTCTGTGCCTCACCCCATTCACAAAGGAAGATGCGCGGAACAAAATACAAGTGAGCATGGCAGTGTTTTAATCAGAGACCAAGCTGTTGTTCCCTGAGAGGTCAGGCCACAAGACATCTGGGTACGTGTGTTTGTGACCCCGACCCTCTGGAAGTGGAGAGGTGCAGGGGGAACCTCCCGCAGCCCCTCTGCGTAGATGAGAACTTCAAAGAAAGGAGCCCATAGTGTCACTCAGCTGAGTCTGAATTTGGGTGGGAGCTCTGGCAGAGTGGGCCCCTGGGGTTTTCCAGTCTGGTATAGAGAGATAAGCCTGGGGCAGAGGGGCTGGCTGGTTCTGGACTGGAAAGGAAGTCCAGGGTTCTCTGGCTCCTGTCTTCCAAATGTGGTTCTTCCAGGTTGGTTACCTTGGCTTGGTTGAGTTCAGTCTCAGACACTACCCTCCCTCAAGGGCCTGCTATGTACCTGGCCAAGTGCCATCCATTGTGGGAGGGAGAAAAGATGGGCAATCCTGGACCTGAGATCCAGGAGTCAGACACATACTGGGGGAGAGGAGTCTTTCACTGAAAAGGAGTTGTCAGTCCTAGATGGGACACTCTTGAGTGCCACATGAGTGGTGTGAAGAAAGTAAGTCCATGGAATGTGGAAAGGGGGGAAGCCAGGGTAGGCTCAGAGGAGGGGGCTGGGAGCAGACCCCAGCGGGTGTCCAGGACTAGACCTCCTATGAGAGGCTCAGGCCGGGGAAGAGTGTCAGGTAGGAGGCGACAGACAGGCAGATGCGGGGAAGGGACAAGGGGAAGGCTACCATCAGCGTGTTCTCTGCCTCCCCAGATCGCACCTCCTCCAGGAGAATGTGGCCTCAAGGGGCCATCTTCGTGGTCCTGCCCCTCCTGGGGCCCACCATTGTCTGGCTGCTCATCCATCACTCGATGCCCGACTGGTGTGAAGCCTGAGAAAGCTGCCCTGGTGCCCACCCCAGAGTCTTGTTGCTGGAGTGGACAACCATCTACTCCATCATGGGCTGAGCACCCGCTTCTCATGCCCTGGGCTGGGAGCAAGTCTCCCATCCCTGAATTGCTGCCGCACACTGATCTCTAAAGGGATGGAACCTCATCTTGCCTCTTTCAGGGTGTCTCCTCTGTACCCGCCTAGGATTCCAGCCCACCCTCCCTTACCTCCCCCCTGCCCTCAAAGGATGCCTAGACCCACTTACCCCCCATTTCACCCCACAAAGGATTCCCTCTTGGCAATCACAAGACCCCATTTACCATGAATCAGCCTCCTCTGAGCGTTTCTGCCACCGTCTGTCCACAGCTATGCCTCCCACCTGGTGTGGAAGGACCTGGGAGGGGGCTTTGGACAGCCGCTGGCCGCTGCCCCTCGGTCTCTAGGCCATCAGCTGGTGTCCTGATCCTCGTGTTGGCAGCCCACACCTCGGCCAGGTAAGGCACCAGAGCTCAGCAGTGGGCAGGGGAGGGGGCGGGGAAGCCGCCCGGCCTCCGAAGCAGGGAGCGCAGCACGGCCGGCAGGTGCCGGCAGGTAGCGGCGGGGCGGCGGGGCAGGCTGCCCTGAGCTTCCGCGGGGCGCACAGAACACCGGGAACTTGGCTCGCTGGCTCCAGGGTGCTGCAGAAAGGTCAAGTGCAATTCCCAGGGCAGCCCGCCTGACCGCCCTGCCCCTGCCCAGGCCCAGCTGCACCTGCTGCTGCTCTTCGGGCTGGTGATGCGCACGGCTCTGCTCTGGCATCCCCATCAACAAGCTGCCACCCTGCTGCTGCTGCCCTACCTGGCCTGGCGCACCGTGGCCGTTGCCATCACCCACCACCTGTGGAGGGACAGCCTTTGTCCGAGGACCATCCCTGGGCGGGGAGAGGAGTGACTGAGGCCGGGATCAGGGGAGAGGAGGGAGGCCGGGGTAGGGGCAGAGGAGACCACAGCCAAGCTGTGGAGGGGAGGGTGGTGGCCAGAGGTTGCTGAGCCCTGAAGGTGACTTGATCCAATGTGGCCACTGTCCTGGGTCCCCTGGTGCCACTTCCCATCAGGATTCAGAGACATGGGACAGGGAGGAAACAGTTCACAGTTAATACAAAGTAATAAGTCCTGTATTAATAAGAATTAATTTAGTATTAATAGCATCAGTGAATAAAATCCTAACTAACTTTCCAGGTATGATGTGACATGTGTGAGGTTCAGGATAGCTGGGTGGGAATGGACATGTGTGTGTGTGTGTGTGTGTGTGTGTGTGTGTGTGTGCGTGTGTATGCACACACACATGAATGAAGGTGTAAATGCCCTGCCAAACCTCACTCAAAATTTGGGACTTAGATTTTTAATTATTTGAAAAACAAAGTTTCTGAAAAGCCACAGAAAGATAAAGTAAGAAAGGATACCAATTATCTTGTCGAACTATATATTGTTTATTTTATATTATGTATCATAATAGATAAATGTATATTATATACCACCTATAAAATAATATATTCTATATTATATTAATCTTATTTAATTATTTTATTTTAATTTTTTATATTGGCATGTAGTTGATTAACAATATTGTATTAGTTTTGAGTGTGCAGCAAAGTGGCTCACTTATATGTGTATCTACTCTTTCAATTTCTATAATTAATTTATTTTAATTAATCATATTAATTACACCTATAATATAATATATAATAGTTATATGATACATTATGCATTATATATGTCATACTAGTCTTTTTCAATTTCTATAATTAATCTTAATTATATTAATTACGCTGATGTTGAAAAAAGATGTAAGCCTCAGTGCTGACCAGTGAATTGAGGAGGAGTTTTTGTCCAGCCTTCTCTCTTATTTCCCTTTCTAAACCTTCCTAATGGCTTTTTTTAATTTTCCTCTCTTCCGTCCTCTTGCTTTCTTCTCCTGTTGTCTCAAGGCCCTAATGGTGGCAAGAAGTGACGGCCCCAGGGCTGCCTCCCTAAATCCTAAACAAGGCCAGCTGGAAGGCCCAGGTGCCTTGTGGAAGCAGCTTTTAAAAATATCAACCAGACTCTCTAGGGATGCGCCTGGGCATTGGTGTTTTTAAAACTGCCAGGACTTCCTCATGTGTAGCCCACCTGAGAACCACCACTGAGGGTGTTCCAGAGCCATCCGGAAGCTTATTAAAAATGCATAGGAACTTCCCTGGTGGTCCAGTGGTTAAGACTCCATGCTCCCAGTGCAGGGGGCATGGGTTCAACCCCTGGTCAGGGAAATAAGATCCCACATGCAGCCAAAAAAATAAATAAATAAAAATTCGTGTTCCTCGTACCCTACCCAAGACCTAACAATCAGAACTTTGGGGGTGAGCTTAGGCACTTTGGATTTAACAAGCGCTCAGCGCTTCTCTCAGCTGCTCACTGAAATTAGAGAGCTCCGAGCACAGATGGTCTTTCAGGGCTCCCTTTGCTGTGACAACCTTTGATTCTGTGAGTTGAGTTCTGGGTCTGGGGCCAAATATACCCCTTGCGGGGGGTGGGGGGGTGGGGAAGGACCACACAGGGGCAACAGCCAGAGGACATTACATTTGAGAAGGAGACGGGCTGTTCCTGGAACTCATCAAGGAAGGGCAAGCTAGAAGGGATCTCCTCCTCCCCGCCTCCTCTGGGCATGCTCTGCCCAGCGGGGCCCATGAGTCGCCTGTGTTCCACCTGCCCTTGTGGCCCCAGCCCCAGGGCGGCACAGGGCACAGGGAAGGTGTTCATTTATCTTTGACTGATTAACTGATTAAGTAAATGAACACATTGTCCCATTAAAAGATAATGCTGATCAACCCCCCACCAACACCTGCCCTGACACTGGGTCAACCGAAAAAGCCTCTCTTTGAGGGGAGGGAATGGCATTCATTGGAGAAGGGCATGGCAATCTACTCCAGTATTCTTGCCTGGAGAACCCCATGGATAGAGGAGCCTCACAGGCTATGGTCTATAGGGTCACAAAGAATCAGACACGACTAAAGCAACTTAGCACGAACAAGGGCATTCATAGCTGTTGAAACTTCTCAGGTGGTTCTAATGTGCAAGCAGATTGAGAATAGCTGCTGTGGGGGTGTTGCCTCTCAAAGTGCAGCCTAGTGACCTGGAACCCTGGTGGATGACCTGGACTCCAGCCTTGCTCCAGACTCACGGAATCAGATCAACTTGAGGAATGGGGGCCCATAGATAGGGTGCAGTGGTTTGCAGTTCCGACCTTGGAGACAGATCAACTTGGGCTTGGAGACTGACTCTGTCATTCATTAACTGATAATCCAGTACAATTTACTTCATTGTCTATGCTTCATTTTCGTCATCTGTAATACGGGGACCTCAGAGAATCTGAGGAAAGAGTGAATGCATCTGGCACAGAGGAAGTGCTCAATCAATGTTAGCTGTCCTAAGAGGAGACCCCAGGAGGCCACCTGTTTAATGAGTGCCCATGGTTCTGACTCACATGGCAATGGAGATCCACTCTGCCCTGAGTCTCTAGAAGTACTTTCCAGACTTCCTAAGTGCCGAGAGGCTAAGTGACCTTCCCCACGGGTCTGTGGGCCAGCCTGACCGGTGCCACAGGCACAAAATGGTGAACGCTTTATTGCACACATTCACATGGATTTTGACTCCACCTCAAACAGATTTTTTTTAAAGCTGCTTTTAGTTGAACTGAAAACTCCATTGATCCAGGTAACTATTTAAATTTATAAATGATAAAGGACATGCTTAGGAGTCACACTGCATGGGTTCTTATCCAATTCAGCATATGGACCTTCCAGAGATATTTATCATTGTCTCTACCATCACCATCTCATGTAGGCATTATAGATACTTGCTACCAATTGTATTGATGTTGCCAACTAATTCTAGAAATTAAACTGGATCTCCAAGAAGATGCACCGTGCCGCTCATGTGACTCTGACTGCCCCAGAACAAGTGGACACCGCAAGCCCAGAGTTTTACATGCCCCTAGTTTTGGATATTGGTCCTAGAAGGAAGCTTGATTTGGGCAGTGTCCCAAGCCCTGGAATAGTCTGACTGCCTGGCAAGGCATGAGCCAAATAAAGGGCTTCCTGGCTTTGTGCAAAAACAGCCAGAAAGGGCAGGATCCCCAACCTCAAACTTATCCTCTGACCCCAAAATTGTTCCTTAATATCTCTCTCAGCAGTAGCTCCCTGGTTCCTGAGCGGGAGTCCTAATCCCCGCGCCCCCTCACCTCCCCACCTGCCTGGCCTCTCGCCCTTCCTCTACCCGGCCTTCCAGTTCTGAGACCAGCCTGGAATACACACTGCCCTTGGTCCCTCCTCTCTCATTACCTAGAGCTGTGCCTAAATAGAGTCAGAGCTGTTTCCTCCGTTTGCCAGATGTGTCCCGGGATTCCACCATCCGAGCCACGTGTGTGTGCTTCTGTGTCCTCGGGCAGTGTTTTTCCATTTGCCTCTGAGCGGACACATGGTGTCTGAATATGATTCACTCGGTGGGTGGGGGAGAGACAAGCCCTTCACCAATGTCTGGAGAGGTGGGGAGCAGCTCCTGGCGAAGTGGCAACCCCAGGAGGCAGGGAGACCTCTCACTCTGCTGTATCTTCATCCTGTCTTTGCTCCCCAGTCCCTTTCTCCTTCCTGCTTTTGCCAGTGTCTGCAGAATGGGGACACACAGCGGCAGGTGAGGTGGGCAGGCTGGTAGGTGTATGTCCGGTGGACAAACGTTGGTCCTGTCCTACGGGCAGGTAGAGGCGATGCTCTAGTGGAGGCGTAAAGCCCTCGAGTACAGTCACGACCAAGCCAGGGCTCCAAAGTCTTGCTTCCTTTGTGCTCCACCCATTCTATCTCCCGGGGTTCCCCTGTTTCAACATCTTTCCCGAGTTCCCTTTTCTTGTAGCTTCAGAAAACAATCACAAGATATTTTTGTTTTAAAGCTTTCTTGCTGATCTTCATCAGTGATGAAGTTACCCGTCCAAACAAAGCCTGACTTTGGTGGGCATCCACTCAAATCTGGACTGCCCACCTCCACCCTCACGCAGAGTCTACCGAGGCCCCTTCCCCCAACCGAGCTTTCAAGGACCCCTCATAACAAAGGCCCCCTCTTCTAACCTGCAAGCTAGAAGAAGCCCTCTTTGTCACACCAGGAGCCAGGGGGGTGTCTGATCAGCCTCGTTTGTCCCGCTGGTGTCTGTATCTCCGAGGTCCCCCCAGCCTGCCCGGAAATGACCTGGGCAGAGAAGCACCCAGGGAGCTCCTTCCCACTCCACCTGCACCTACTCCAGCACATTTCCAAGGGCTGAAAGTCTCCTCTGAGAAGTTGATTGTTAAGTTTATCGCTTTCTCCCAGTAGGTTCTTTGGCCCTGCAAACACCCCTTCAAAGGGGAATACTATTAGTCACCTAATGGGCATGATTCTAATCAGATCAAGCTCCTCAAAGACTCAAAGAGCCAGCCAGCCCTGGGGGCCGGGTGGTGCCGGGAGTGGCCGCTGGAATGGAAGACCAAGGTGACCAGGACTACAGTCCCAGTTGTCACCATTTTTCCCCGGGGCCATGCGTCCTGCATGGCCAGCCAAGCACAGTGTCCTGCCCCGGAAAAGACTGGAAACTCCATTCCACCCTGCATGATTGGAGTTTCTCCTCCCTTCCCAGGGAGCCTCAGACTCTGGGAGCCCCGGGGCCCCCTCACTGCACCCCGCCCAGGCTCTGGACACCCCTGTTGTTTATGTCAACAGAGTGGTTGCCAGCGGGCAGGCTCCTGCCCACCAGGGGGTGCCCGGTGCCCGCGGCCCGCTGTTTGTATTCCTCATCTCGGTGGTGACCGGGGGGCGGGCAGAGCTGGGCTGGGTCTCCGGGGCAACGCGTTGTTGGGGTGCCAGCTGTCCCTGCAGCCACTCCATCAGCGGGCTCCCGAGGTATCTGCTTTCACAGAGTGAGAATTTAAACCTTCCCCTGGTGAGGCAGCTATTTTCCATCGGCCCCCTCGAGGCCTCTCTACTCCCTTCCCGGTGAGGGCAGCTCGGCTTCTGGCCGAGACCCGAGGAAGAGCCATGCCTGACCCTGCCACCTCCTCCTCAGTACCTCCTAGGCCCTCGGAAGGTTTTCTGAAATGACCATGGGAAACAGGGCCGAGAGAGGCAGGCCCTGGGCCTCACCCAGCTCCTCCCAGACACAGAGGGGCTGGCTGGGTCCTAAGACAGTAGGAGAATTCCCTTGTGGGTTCCCATTCCCACTCACCTGCTGTCTGCTGTCTCCATACCTATACCCCTTCACACACACACACCCCTCATACACAAGTTGCTCCCAGAGCTCAGTCTCCCTGCAAGAACACCTTCTCCCCTGGTCCCCTTCTTGCCCCTCCACCCTCAGAGCCTGGCCTCAGGGGTCCTGATAGCAGTCGGGACTGAAAGGTCAAGGACTTAAGACTCTAGAAGCCCAAAGCTCTGTTCTCACTAGCTGTGT